TATGAGTTTGTGTCTGATTAAGAAGACTTAGGAAGATCTTGGCATTTTTTCAAAAGTACAGTGTGTTAAAAAATGGTTCAACTGCACACTCAGAATTTATTGTCGTGTTCGGTAATTTCTTACCGAAATCTCAACAGCTGAACGTTCGGTAAAGCTTTGAACTTAATTTTAAAACCTGTTTTGCACACACATTATTACAAAATACGTTCAATCTTGTTGTAATGATCAAATCTTGTAATTGTGGTGTCCGCGATTTCTCAAAACAAATCCGCGACTTCAAATACTAATCCGCGACAAAAAAAAAAAAACTGTTGTCCTTACCTTAAAACACCATTTGTATACTACTACATGGCATTTCAAGCTTATTGCTTATAGCATATTAGATTTTTGCCTGCTCTCAACTTAGTGTTCTTTGAAGTACTTTTACATTTTAATTGAGTGCTTCCTATGCCCAAGGAAGTAGAGAAATTTTCCAAACCGAAAAATTAATAGACCGGACGAACTCAGTCGCCTCCAGTATGGACTTGCTTTGTAGCAGCGCCTTTACCGACTGAGCTAAAGGAGTATCGTTTGTGACCTTTGAAAAAAATAATTAAAAAATAACAATGTATCATCTTCAGTTATTTATGTATAGTATAAATTATGAGTAATTAATGAACATAATAAAACACCATTACATTATGAGATTCTATTGAATAATTCCGGTCTAGATTTTATGGAACATTATTTAAAAAAAATGCATTTCATTTGAAATGCAAATTTTCTTGAAAATTAAGCTTTTCGTCTCTGACGTATTTTGCTGTTATTTTTTTTAGTTGATTTTGGCTCTAGTTTTCTCAATTTTTTACCCATTCAAACCAAACACCCTGCACATAATCGAGAAATTACCAGGGTTTCATAATTCACACTTGTTGGCCACGTCGCGGTTCTGTATTGACACTTATTCCTTGGGGTCTGTCGAATGGTGAGACATTTTCATGATATTTTTTTTATTTCTAATATGAACCTAGCATTTGTTCGTTGTCAAATCATAACCGAATCGTATATATGTGACATTGTGTATCATGCACGACTTATTACTATGTATACCAGAAATTATACGTTTTCCAAATCGTCCAGGACATCAGTTGATTTGTTCTACTAGATCAACCAATACTGCAATAATGTCTGTAGTATCGAAAAATGTCCAATCAGATTCAAAGTGTCTATGTGGATCATGCATGATCTATTTCCGAGTAATCCACATGTTCAAGGTTCTTCAAATCATCCTGGAGTTCAGTTAATTTGATCTACTAGATCAACCGAGATTGGGACAATGATTTTAGTATCGAAATATTTCCAGACAGATGCACAGTGTCTATGTGGATAATGCATGAACTATTGCCATGTATACCAGATGTTTTAAGTTCTCCAAATCGTTCTGGAGTTCAGATGATTTATTCTACTAGATCAACCATGATTGGGATAAAGTCTGTAGTAACGAAATATATCCAAACAGATTCATAGTGTCTATATGGATAATGTTTAATTATTTCCACGTGTACCAGACGATCTAGGTTCTCCAAATTGTCCTGCAGTTCAGTTGATTTGTTTAACTAAATCAACAAAGACTGAGATAATATTTATAGTAGTGAAATATCGATTTGGAAATCCTAGAACATTTGGCATACACGGAAATAGGTTGGCATGATCCACATAGAACCTGCAAATTTGTATGGGCATATTTCGATACTAAAGATATTGAATTACTTTTGGGTGATCTATCCACATAGACACTTTGAATCTGTTTGGACTATTTCGATACTACATACATTATTGCAGTCTTGGTTGATATAGTAGAACAAATCAACTGAACTCTAGGACGATTTAGATAACCTAGAATATCCGGTATACATGTCTCACATTGTACAGACCCCAGGGAATTTCCGTATAAATCCGGTGTGACTTATGGAATTGAGATCATTGCTCGATTATTTGCAGGGTGTTTGGTTTGAACCGGTAAAAAATTGAGAGCCAAATGAACAACAAAATTGATGACAGCAAAATAATCCGGGACGGAAAGGTTACAATGAATTCCACAATTTTTGTGACAGCATCTCAGTCCCTTCGCGATTTTCGTGACTGAAAGTTCAAATCTGCGACAAATCCGCGAAAATAGCGAAATCCGTGAAATTTGCGAAATCCGCGCTTGTTGTAACAGCCCTGCAAATGAAGTGAATTGTCCAAATTTTACCGAACAGTTTAGCGCTTGAGATTTCGGCATACATTACCAAAGTGGGCGATCATTTGTAGGTGTGTATAGTCAATATTTTACTTATCGAAATTCAGCCTAATGAACAATTCGGTCTAATGGTTTTTATTGGGCCATGTTTGGCCTTATGATTATTTAGTATTTTGAAGCATTCCAAATCAACGATATTACGATTACTTTCAAATTTCTCAATTCAATAAAATATATCTGGTCGTTTTTGAACTAAATATTGTCCCTAAATAATCAAGGTTGCAAAGACTCTTTTCAGCTAAAATAATGTTTTTCGGAATAATAAAACCAAAAGATGGTATGATGGCATGTTTTACTTGTAACTTACAAGAAGAGGTTACAAAGTATGCGTTGGAAACATAAAACCTGTAAATTTTGCTTTCTATGAGTCACAATCAGCGATTTGCTGATCGCTGAGTGAGTGAGTGAGTGAGTGAGTGAGTGAGTGAGTGAGTTTGTGAAAAATCGCTGACTGTGACTCTCATGAAGTGAAATAAACAGGTTTAATATGTCAAACACATTCTTTGCAACCTCTTCTTGTATCCTACCAATTCAAAATTTGATCATGGCATCTAATTATTTCATAATTTAGAAAAACATTGTTTTAGCTGAAATGAGTCTTTGCAACCTTGTAAATAATACTGGGTACATCTCATTAGATAGACTAACAGTGCTGTTTGATAAAATAGCAGCGCCCGCCGATTTTCATTCAAAATAGACAACTTTGACATGTTGTAACTTTGTTCTCTTAAGATCAATTGAGCTGAAACGTTCGCCACAGAACTACAAATATGTGATTGTAAAATACCAAATTTTTGGAAGCATGTACCGGAAAGTGAAATACTAGGTAAAATTGTTCGAAATAATAGCAGTTTTTGATTAGAAAATTTTGTACTACTGTAAATATTTGAAACATTTTTAACTATTATGTATACATTTGTTAATACCCACCCATGTTTGAATTTTGAGAAATGTAAAATTTTAAATCTCAAAATTGAGTTGAAATGCAAATTATTAAAACGGTTGTAATTTCGAACCATTTTACCTAGTATCTCACTTTCCGGCAGATGCTTCCAAAATATTGGTATTTCGTAATCGTAAAGTTGAATATATTTGTAGATCAGTGACTGTGGTTTCAGCTCAATTCATCATAAGACAACAAAGTTACATCATGTCAAAGTTGAGCATTTTGTATGAAAATCGGCATACGCTACTTTTATGTCGAACAGCACTGAATGTATTTTTAATACCTTCTATCAGGGTTGTACAATACTAAAGCACGGGAGTTGTTATTCTTGTACATAGTTTTTTTTTATTTTCTATATTTTGATGAACCCAAAAAAACTACGATATCACTAGTTTTAGCCTAAAACCAAGAGAACCGTCAAAAAGCCAACATCTCAATTAGTTCACCATCTCCCTCACCGCGGGAAGCGGAAATCCGTAAATTGGATAATCATTAGTTTTTTCGTAATAATCCCTCAGGCAGGCAAACAAAACCCCATTGTCCTGATCCTACCCATCATTATCCGGAAATCAGGACCTCAAAAAGAACTTGACAACTTAACTTCTAGTTTCCCATCGAATCCTGCTCTCGGGTAGCGAAAAATGCCCTTTTTTTCTACCTTGTTCTCTTCAGTGCAATTCATTGAATGTTGGTGAATAAATGGCGAAACCCGAAGAAGAAAAACAAAAAAGCCATGCGGTGTTGCATTCTTCTGCATCCCCGCAAGTAAAGTGCAAAAATCCTCTTCCCTAATCCGGCTCCCGGATCGGAAAGTTAGTTCTGCTTCTCTCTGAGGTTGGCTTTTGTTCAGATCTGGGTATTCTTTTGAAATTGTGATCCAGTTTCGTTGGCACGGTGTTCTTACAGGTTTTTTTTTGTCGGGCTTAGAAGGAGTAGAAGAACGTTGATGACGATGAGTCGAAAATGGAACAAGAAATTGTGTAACTTTTACTTTCATGGGTTTCGTTTTTGAGGAAATTTAAGCTTCTAGGATCACGATCGTTTTATAGTGCAATTATGCGGCATATGTGTTGAGCCGTTAGGGTTGCAACTTTTTAGTTTTTCAAAAATAATCGGACGATTTTATTGTTTTTAATTTGCATGTTATGGGATTTTTCTAAAAATTTACGTTTGAGCAAATTTGCGAAAATTGATAGCCTTGAGCAACTACCACGCGTCCCCATTGTGAGTTTAGCTTCAAGGCAATCACCAAAAAGCAGTTGACCCTTTTAGTCAATTATTTAGTTCAACCCGAGAACAGCTGCCCGGCTTTCGATCGGTTGCAGCTTGACGTCCTGATCCCAACTGTATGCTAAGCGAGCGCGTCCTTTTTCCCGTGAGTTTGCATTGTGCAATTTAATGCACTCAAATCCCATTTGTCTAAACAGCGAAATGGAAAACCGCCACATGTGGCGCTCGTCGTCGGTCGGTATAGAAAGTAGACGCACATGTGTGCTTGAGTTTTGAAAAATTAAGAAAACTGTTTTCGACGTTTGCTTTTCGGTGTCCTTTTGGTTCCGAAGGGTAGTTTCGTGGCAGTAGGAGAGTAGGAGTGTTATCTGTTTTTTTTGTTCGTGCAGTTTTTAGAATTCTAGTCCCAAGAGGGGTGGAAACATCAGGCTTGGTTTGCTCTTTCTGCTCACATAATTTATTTTTGAATATTCGCTGGGCAAAAAGAGCAAGCTTAGCTTGTTTTTCATAAACTTATCATAATGGTGAAATTTTTTAACTTACCTTATTTCAAAAATAGTTGAATTCGTTGATCATGAACTCATTAGATGTTCTTCATAAGGATTGTGATTGCCGGATCCTACAGGCGGTTGTTCATAATCACAAATCGTTGATGTACTTCTGCTTACTTTAACATAGACAATTGCAAATTTTGATTTGCGTCCGTATCTTTCTTTTCTCAAGAACGGGGTTGGTTGAGCAATTTTAAAATTTTGACTACCTCAAACACAGCGGGTCCGAAACGATTATTGCAAAAAATGGTGAGATATTTTTTGGACAGAAAAGGCAGGAACTAAACTAAATTTAGTGGATGAAAGTGATAGCTGTTGTGCCTTGATTCTGCTTTTTTTCTGTTGTTGTTTAAAATCCAAAATATTTGCTGTGCGAGGGAATTTTTATACTTTAGTTAATTTTGCTTATATTCGGTGCAATACTCATGCGATTCACTACACTTCTTCCGAAATTTTCATATTTTTTACATCATATCGTTTGTTCAATATTGCTTCCACTTAGAATATCACAAGTTTATCAATTGATTCCATCAGTTTCAAAATTCATCTGTAGTTTTTTTTTTGCGGTTATTTGCCCTTCACACACGCTTTCATTCGCTCTTGCTCCTTTGCACACTTGACTGCTCACTTTTCCACCGCACTTTTCCTCTGCCGTTGCACTTCCTGTGTGTGCGCGCGCCCGTTCGCCCGCACTTCTGAGAGGCCCACACTATCTCTTTGCGGAGAGGGGCAAAAATTTTCGTCCTCACTCAACAAAATTTCATTTCGTACTGTTTTGATAGTTTTATTTTCATTTTTCACACACTGTCTCTGCGCTGCGATTGCGATGCGATTATGCTGCTGTGGCTGTTCCTATTCGGGAATAAGAAGAACAGATGTGTGGGTGAGTTCCCCAAAGTGATGTTGTTGTTGCTGTTGTTTTCTTTAGGGATCGCGAAGGGTCACACGGTGCGTGAGTGCCCATGCACGATCGACAAGAATGTTGCACTACGCGTGACAAGTGTAACACGTCCGCGCGTGGATTCTTGTTGCATGTGCACTTTTGCGCCTCCACTCTTGTAACACTTTCAGCATGCACACGTGGGTCTCAGCGGAAACACTTTTGATCAATTTTGCCAGCACTTTCTTATTTTGAATTACTTATTTAAAAATCACAAAGTACATATGTCACTTCTCCATTAAATTATCAGTTTATGAAATATTCCGTCGAAGGATTAACTCTCAATTTGGCCAAAATAATCACGACCTGCAACTGCTCGTCCCAAATTTCGGCCTCGATATATCACAATCAACCCAACAACGGACTCGTCGAACGTCACGGTTGCAGCACGTCAGCGGAAGGAATGAAGAAGCTGTTTACACGTGAACTGACTTTCGGGTACTGGCCAAACCGATTCGGCCGAAAAGTCGTAAACAAACTCACAAACGCGACAATGTCTCGCACAACAAAGCTTCGTGTGCACGTACGTGTATGTATGCCGAGCAGTGAGTTCCGTGCAACCGACCTTCCCATTTTCCCTTTTCCCTAAAAAAAACCTAAAACTTCACTTGATTGAGCTTTCCTGCACGGCGTGGCGACCGGCAATCAGAGGACGTCCTTTTCATCCCTTCTGAGCTTCAACCGAGCACTCGGTATCCCTTTCCTGCGCATACTCCGAAATCACTCACCCATACAGTGTCACACACCAAGCAAGCTCGACCGAGAGAAGGATTGCACATAACGCTTATGCACTATCTACAACAACAGTAGGCATGTGTATCGCAACGCGAATGCAATGTGCCCTTTGTACCTACCCAAAATCCAGCAACAAATACAGCACACAACACAGCATCTACACATAGGGAAGGGAAGACGGAGGGTTTCGCTATATTCTGCCTATGCTTCTATGTGAGATCGACTCTAGCTTGTACGGTAAGCAGGGAGCAGTGGAATAGAAGAGGCGAGACGAAGTGACTAGTTTTGGTGAGTGCATTCGGGTGCAACAGATTCGGGCGATGCAGTGCCAGTATGCGTGCGGTGCTAGTGGTGGGGGTAATGCAAAATTTATGATTCACTTGGACTAGAGCATAGATTGCCCCGGTGGAGGGGATGAAAATGCATCTCATGTTGCGGTGGGATTTTGTGAGTGAGTGACTTTGGTGATTTCGGCTTGCGCTTCCCGACTACGACTGGTTGTGACTTTGTAGCTTGGCAGAGTTGCCAAGAAGGATTGGAATTCCGATTCGGAACTTCAAGAAGATACATTTTGACTTACTTTACCCAAAAAATGTCATTCCACTAAATGGCTGAGCTTGGTGCACCATGCGTCTCCATGAAATCGAGTGTTTTGGTGCTATGGCAGGAGAGTTCCAGATTACATGTGATTCTTAACATTTCGACTAAGAATAACCCGGATTTTACCTGTCTTTAGAACATATTTGAGCAAAAATGTGATGTTTCTACTAAAGATGACTTCTAAATTTGATAAAGAGCCACAAATTGTCACTAATTTTACTAAAAATCGAACACTGCTTCTTAATTCCAAATTCGTCACACGAGTTTCAATTCCACCCGAGCAAGAACCGATACCCGAGCAGAAAAAAATAACTAAAAAATAAATAAATAAATAATAAATAAAAGGTAAAATACCAAAAATAATACCTCAAAAATATTCTAAGAATAACGAACTAATAAATAATTTAGTTATTACAATAACAAACGGATAACAGACGCTTTTTTAGATGCCAGAATACCATAGTTTGTTATTTTGAAGGTCTTCTAATACCAATTCAATAACTCTTTTAGGTGTTATTGTCCAAAAACTGAAAGTTGTTATTTTGGTATTCATTTGATATTTTACAAAATATTTCGATAACTGAATAATATAAAAACAAGGTTTTATACCACAAGCATACCAAATTCTGGTATCATACCACATTAAGATATTCATTTGTTATCGATTAGCTATCGGTTCCTGCTCGGGTAGCTGACCGATAACATATGAATGCCTTATTTTGGTACGCTTGTGGTATACAACTTTGTTTTGATATTATTCAGTTATCGACATATTTTGTAAAATATCAAATAAACTCCAAAATAACAAAACGTGATCTTTCAGGTTTTAGATTATAACACCTAAAAGAGTTACTAGATTGGTAATAAAAGACCTTTTAAATAACGAATTATGGTATGCTGGCATCAAAAAAGCGTTTGTTATCCGTCAGTTATTAATGAATAACTAAATTATGTATTTGTTCGTTATTCGTAGAACATTTTTGAGGTATTATTTATGGTATTTTACTTCTTATGTCAGGCTCATCAATACCATATCTAGGATGCCAGTTATGCTAATATCATACCGGAATTATGCAATCATTAGATGCAATAATGCTATGTTGTACTTGTTAGTAACAAGACAAGGGAGTAAAGTATGTTTTTGACTCATAAAACCTGTCAATTTCGCTTTGAGAGCGTCACAATCAGCGATCTTATGATTCGTGAGTGTTCACTCAGAGTGAGCGCTCACGAGTCGTAAGATCTCTGATTGTGTGATTGTGATTTTATGTGTCAAACATATACTTCATGACCTCTTCTAGTAACTTACAAGTACTAATAAGCATTATACTATATCATGATTTCATAATACCAAAAAATATTTTTTTATAGCAAGTGAGTGGAAGTAACCCTGGGGTTAACATATTGGCAGCTGCCATACCCACAGTGGAATAGCTCTATACAAAAGTCGGTAATAATTATTTTTCCAACTTTTAAGCAATGAAATGTGCTTGGACTATCATATAATGATAATTCAGACAATATGTGATGATAATAGTAGAAAAATAAAATATTGCATTAGTTTTATTCAAAAACTTACGATGGAGTAAATAAGATAAATGACAAAATTAGATAATTTTAAATTTTGTTTAGCGGTTTGATAATATAAAAATTATAGAGGCAATTTTGTTTTCCTATCTCATTAATAAATTGTTTATATGTTCAATTGTAAGAACCATCTACAAGTTTTTCGAGAATAATGAGATACCAACAGAAATTACATCAATGAACTAGCGCACATTTGCACAACAGTTTATTGCCGTATTTTGAAAGAAGTGAGAAAATCCTATCAAGTGGATATGTTTTCATTGATGCGCAATGATTCGCATCAATGTTGCAGTATATTTTAGCTACAACATGATTTTCGAAAAATTGAAGAGTAAGTAAAATAGGCTATTTAGCAAATATATGATTCTTTGGAGTCCAACTAAACATGTTAATAGTCACTATTGGTTCATATCTTTGATATAAATATGTCTACATAAGATAATATACAAATGGTTCAGAGTTATAGCACAGTGATTTTGTCAATATTCCACCCATTTTTTTTAACACTAATCTTTCAACTTTACTTTCAAATTATCAGCAATAGTGCAAGCGATAGTAATGAAACTTTGGAAAATGATTCTATAGGGAATATACTTTCCTATTTTAGAGCAAAACTTGAAAATTTTTCACATAAACAAATATCGAATTATGACCAACCTATACCCCACTGTGCTTACATGCTAAGTGTACACTCAAAAAATTTCACACGTTTGATCGAAGTGTTTAAACGCTTGATTTTTTAAATGCAGAATCACATTTACTTTAAGTGTATTTCACCTTGGTTTGATGTGTTATACACGTTAATTTAGAGTGTTTCAAACTTTGAAATGTTGAAAAATTTTCACTTTCTATTCAAGTGTATTGCACATTGAATCACGCTACTGTTCAAAACAGATGGATTTAAAGTGTTTTGCATTTCAATAAGATGTGAATTGTTTGCTCAGAAAGGTAAACATCGAAAACAAGAGTTGTGACTTTATCCTATTAACCCGCCTCATATATGAGAACAATCCTGGCACAGTGAGATAGAACGAAGACTCCGGCAGCAGCTTACCCCAACAGTCCATGATCGAATCCCAAATCAGACCCATTAAAAAGATATGTGAAAGCTCTGGCAGTTTTGATTATATATTTGTCGTTTCAATTTTTAGAGTCGGTAAAGTAGAAGTCGATAAAGTAGAATATTGTAGAATATTGAACTAT